TACAGCCCACAGTAAAGGTTTTCTTAGCATTTTAAATAGCTCTTTAGGCTCAACTTTTCTACCCATTTTTTCTAGAAGAAAAAAATACGAAAATGCAGTTAAATTATAATCAGGTTACCATTTTGTTACAAAAAATTCCAAACCAGTAAGTAATGATCAGAATTTTAGGGCACATACTCTTATTACAGGAGTCCCTGGTGGCGCAAACAGCTAAGTGCTAGGCAGGTGACCAGAGGTTAGAAATTCAAATGCACCCCAAGGTGCCTCAGAAGAAAAACTTCATGGTTTACTTTTGAAAAGCCAACTCTTGGGACCCCTACAAAGCACATTCTACTCTAATGCGCATTTGGACCATCAGAAGTCAGAACTGGCCATTTGTGTTTTGGTTTTACTTACATTACGCTGTTGTTGATGTTAAGTGCTGTCAAGTTAATTCCGACTCATAGTGACCCGTATAGTCTGAGGAGCAGCTGGTGGACCTCAGGGCTCTGAGTCCAGTGCTAGTCTTACAGCACCACATCATGAATCTTATTACAGTCTACACAGCAAATAACCTAATGTACCACCTTTTCTAAATAGTCAACAAGAATAAATTCCTTTTACCAAAAAGCCACTTCCAAATGGAAGGCCAGAAAGACATTTGAAACCAACATGGATCAAACTTAGCAAGTTTTAGACAGTGAGCTTCAGAGAGGTTAGTACCTGGACGTACTTACCCAGTTTGCACGGCTATGTGGTTCACATGCATGGGCTCTGTTTAAGCAAGAGCTGTGGACACTGTAGAGCTACATGGCTTCCTACTTCCTACCTGCCCCGTGGTTTTAAACAGCGCTTCACAAAGTGTGGGAATCTCTGGCTACCAGTGAATGTTCAGAGCAGTTGTTCCACCCACTCAGCAGCAGTCCAGTCTTGGTTCCAGACAACAGATTAGAATCATCATTGCCTGTCTCCATGCCTGGGGAGGATTCAGCAAATGCAATCAGCCCCAGATCCCAATGTACTGCTGAGTTATCAGAGACTCTGAGCCTTCACTGACAGGCAGTTTAACAGCCATCTCTCCTCACCACGGCTACTGATCCCATCTGGTTGAGGGAATCATTTATGATAAATAGTAGAATGCAGAATTCCTGATCGAGGTATCTATCTTGTTTAGCTGAGGAGTGGGGCTGCGCAGGAAACATTGGGTTTACTCCCAGTGTGTACAGACAGCAACGGAGTTCAAAGGAAAAACACCGAGAAGATGATCTGTGCCACAGAGCTCAGCGTGTACACAGAGAAAACAGAGAGAAGGTACTTAAGAATGTGGAGCAAGAAAGTATTCCCAACCCAGTCTCTATCTCCGCTGTCTTCATTAATAGGAAAGCTGAATTTCCATTTATTTAGGCACGTGAAGCATTACCCCTCTTGGTGATGTAAGTCACCCAGAGCCCCTCTGCTGATGTGAAAGCAAAACATTCCAAAAAAAATAGCAGCTGGGGCCAGAGACAGCTGTGTCTAAGAAGAGTCACCCATTCTCTTTGCAGTTTGCTGAAAAAGATTAGGAGCCAGACTTCCCAGGCACATGGCCATCTCCTGCAGATGGATTTCATGAGCTGTCCATCTCAATTCTATCACGTTTAGTGCTGTGGAGTCTGTCCCAACCCACAGAAACCCTGTGTAGGGTTTCCGAGGAGCAGCCGATGTGTTTGAAGGGCTGCCCTTGTGGGTCGCAGTCCAGTGCTGACAAAAAGCTGGGCGGGAACCAACCCCTTGGCAAATACAAGACCCCGCTCTGGGGAGTTTGATTCAGTTACACGTTCTCCCCACTCAGGAAGTTCGGCTCCAGGACCTTCACTAGATGTGTCACCACTAGGATCTACATTTAGTCTGGAAATTGCATAGGCCTAGATGTAGAATTAAGCCCCCGTATGGCACTGTTGAATGAGCCCTGGACTGCAAGTCAGTTTGAACTGCAAGGTCGGCAAGTCAAACTCACCAGCTGCTCCTTGGAAACACTCTACAGGGTCGCTATGAGTCATAACCAACTTGACGGCACTTAACAACAAATGTGGAATAAACTTATTTAAATGGTGGTGCATGAGAAAGAATAATCTATCTACCTCTGAAACACCTACTGCATTTCCATTTAGGGACTCTGGAGCTCCAAGATTCCATCTATGACTAGTGCTCTGCCTCAGGCTGCCAGTATTCCAACAGAACCTGGGAAAGACCAAAGAAGAACCAAGTGGACATGACATTCCCAAGCGCATTTCCAACCTACTTCTGTGAAAACAGCTGCATCGCTTACTTCAGATTTTAATACGCATCCATGTATGTGTCTAGGACGCAACGCATAGCACCCTCGGGCCAGGGGGGAGAAGGGGGAGGAAGTCAAGGACAGGAAGTGACGTCCCCCAACCTTCAGTCTCTGGCAAGTTCAAAAAGCAAATTGAAGCAGCTCTTTGCCTAGTTGTTTGAGTCCATACACAATGGCATGGCTCTGCCATTTGCAAAAGTGATTTCAAGTCCCACCACCAATCACAAGAGGTATTGTTTTCAGGATAAAATGCCCTGCTGCTGTATTTGAATAAAGTGCAAAAGATATGTCATGCAAAAGACATAATGTTCTTTAAAATACTTCTACACACAAATACACAATCCCACCACCCTCCCAGCCCTCCCCTCCCCCCACACAGAGAAACATATGAAAACGCAGGATCCCCCATTCTTTGTAACAAGTTCTCCTCATCTGCCCAGAGAATGACTTACATCATTGCAAATGTAAACACTGTTTGCAGAAAGAATATAGTTACCGAAAAGAAAGGGAGCTACTGCAAAGTGCACCGCCAAAGGCTCACACTGAGTTGGGTTTTTATATCCAAATGTCCTGTTTCAGATGGAGCCTTGATTTGATAAAAGTGTAAGATACACAAAATCCTGTCTTTAGAAAATCTTCTCCCTTTTTAGCTTCTTCTGGACTCTATCAGTGACCTGCAGTCTAAGGATCGCTTTCCTAATCTAGAGTAATTTCACATTTTCATATTATTTTTTAGTTGTAAACACAAATAAATATAAAATTGTCATGCAAGCTACATTTAAAACTCAAAAGGTGATGGTATTAACCTCAAATTGATATTTCCAGGGGGACTAATATTTGGGGGTGATATGCATTTAAAAATTATAGTGCAATAGAAGCCTGTTGGTATAAAAGAGGCTAAGAAGGAGCTCTGGTGGCGTAGTGGTTACGAATCGGACTGCGAACCTTAAGGTCAGCGGTTCAAAACTATCAGCCGCTCCGCGGGAGAAAGATGAGGCTTTCTACTCCCGTAAAGATTTACACCCTCGGAAACCCTGTATAGGGTCGCTATGGGTCGGAACCGACTCGACGGCACTTAACAACAACAACAACATCCAAAGATATATTCATCCTCAAGATTCAGTTTTAGCTGAAGCAAATGTTGGACCATGGCCAACAAGTCAATTCTGACTCACGGCGCCCTCACGTGTTGCAGAGTGGGACTGCTCCTTACAGTTTTCTTGGACGTCGCCTTTACGGAAACAGATGTCTGACTCTTCCTCTGTGGGATCGCTAGATGGGTTAGAACTATCAACCTTTCTGTTAGCAGCTTTTGCACCATCAAGGACCCTCGCCGAATAAATGCTTAGTCTGACTGATTCATGTAGTATGGTCATCAGTTACTGTCTCTGACTCATCTTCGGTTCCACAGAAATTACTGTCTAGACGTCATTCTCACAGACAGTTCTTTCTTTGGGGTGGATCCTGTTTGAGGAGACGTGTGTCCTAAGACTGTGGATGCTGTCTTTCACTCACAGCTTCCCTGCCTCGAGCGCTTGCACTCAGCATTGCCCCTGGTTGTGCCGAGTTAAATCTGTGATGCCAGCTTCGCAGGCGGGCATTAGTCTGCAGGCCTAGCAGCTGATGGCAGAGTTGATGCCTCCAAGAGACTTTTGCTCATGGTCTCGGGCAGAAGCCACTCAGCTTCAAGCTGCCACTGTTTACAATGGGGACATTGTTGACCTGTGCAAGTCAAGCCCTGTTCCCACCTAAAAGGTGATGTCTCCAATAAAGAACCAAAAAATAAAAATCCAGGTGAGTCTCACATTCTGGGCCCATAGATACATTCACTGTACAGCACATCACCTCCTTTTGTAAACTGTAAGGAGTAAAAATTCAGTTGCTTTCTAAATAAACTTGCTACAAGATGGAGGTCACAAATACTCTTAACCACACTGAGGGGACCGATACGCTTTCAATGAAGAATTGAACCCAGGCTTCCAACTGGATTTGCTCAGTTCAGTCATGGCAGACAAAGAGAAATAGAAAGGAACCGGAGTTTGAAAACTGTGGGTGCCCCTAATGGTAACCGAAACACCCTGCTGGAGACTTACTCTCCCTCTTAGAAAACAAGGACGCATGTGTTGCATAGCAACCAAATCTCGTGCCCCGCGCAGTTGGAAACAATGGTGACCGGTTCAAGGATGGCAGTAGACCTGCGTTACTTTAACTGTGTGCCACCGTCCACAGGCCTGGCTCGGATCCAATCTCCCACGTCAGGCCCCTGAAGGGCCTGCTGCACCTCTTCTAAGTCTCTCATTCCAGGGCTCCCACCCAGAATTATTTCTGTGTGGTTCTCACGCCAGGCACCCACATTTCATAAACTCCAGTCCCCCCCCTCCCCGGACCCCCCCGATTTCATTTACATGGCTGAGCGGATTCAAATGGATTCAAAGCCCTGAAGTAAACATATGTAGAGAATTGAGACTGAAAACTAGATAGCAGTCTTGTGTTCCGTTTCTGAAATACAATTTAGAAATAAAATCGAAGTCAATTTCCCTTTAAAAGAATCTTCACGAGACTTAGGAATGCCCTAAATGAATTGAAGTTCTCTTTAACCCAAGGGGGATTAATTAGGATCATATGAGTTGCTGCTATTAGGGTGACGTATTGCACCTGGTTCACGTGTGCGGAAACCCCGCCCGGGGGGGCGTGCTACCACGTTTTACACGTGCGTGCAGTTGGTGGACGGGGGCGTGTCCATACGACTCCTGTTGTCTTTCGTGTCGTTGAGCGGTGACGCGTTGCGCAGCGGACACTTGAACACTTGCTTGTAGGCCTTCCTGAAGTTTTCGGAGAGAAACGCGTAGATGATGGGGTTCACAGAGGAGTTGCTGTATGCCAGGCAGTGCGCTGTGATCCTGAAGATGAATGAGGCAGGGGTCAGGGGGAAGACTCCAAACTCAGCCCAGAGATGGATGACATGGTGCGGCAGCCAGGAGATGCCAAACACCACCACCACCACCAGCACCGTCTGTGCCGTCTGGAGAAAGGAAGGGAGAGGAGACGCATTGGTTACAGCACGGTCATGTCTGGACTGAATCTGAACTCCATGTCTCAGTTCTATCAGCACGTCCTCAGGCCCTGCCATAGCGCCTTTACTCAGCCCTGTGTGAGCACAAAGCTCAGAGGAAGTGCTCTGTGAACCGTGGGGACACGGTCAGATGAAATGAAACCCTGGGCAGTGCAAGGGCTGAGAGTGCTTCACTGCTAAAAATAATAATAATAATAATAATAAAATGGTGGAAGTTTGAGTCCCGTGAAAGGTACCTAGGAAGAAAGTCCTGGAGATCTACTTCCAAGAAAGCAGCCATTGAAAACCCTCTGCAGCATAGTTCTCTCCTGACATATGTGGGGTCTCCATGAGTTGGAGTCAACTTCACAGCAACTAGTCCTGGTAAAGACAAAATTCTACACCTCCTGTGGTAATTAAGTACAGTCCAATCACTTCAGGCTCGTGGTGACCCTGTATAGGGTTTCCAAGAGCTGGTGGTGGATTTGAACTTCCAACATTGTTCAATGCTATACTACAGCGCCAGTAAGAACTCTCCATGCAAAACCAGTGTTGTGGTGACATCATTAGTGACTGTGCTAACTGGAGTGTGGGTCTGATGAGCACTCGGGCCCCTCCTCAAAATAGGCATCACACACAGGACAAGTAGGTTTCATTGCAAAGTAAACAAAAGTCCTCACCGCAGGACCGGTAGATAGCATCATGATCAATGGAGAAAAGATTGAAGCTGTCACACTGCAGTTTGCTTGGATCCACAACTAATGCTCATGGGAGTAGCAATCAAGAAACCAAATGGCGTATTACATTGGGCAAATCTGCTGCAAAAGACCTCTTTTCGGCTGTGACTTTGAGGACTAAGGTGTGCCTCACCCAAGTTATGATAGTTTCAACGCACATGAAAGTTGGACAATGACTAAGGAAGACCATAGAATCATTGATGCATTTTAATTATGATGTTGGAAAAGAATATTAAAAGTATAAACTGTTGAATGATGATGCATGGAGGGGATTGTAATCATAGCAAAGAAATAAAATACAATAGGATGAGTGTAAAGCTGATGTTCTCCCATGTACACTATCACTCAATTCACAATAAAAACTTTAAAAAGTACAAACAAATCTGTGTTGGAAGTAAGGTCAGTGTGTGCCTCAGAAAAGAGAATGTTGAGATTTGGTCTCTCTTTCTTTGGACATGATGTCAGGAGGGACCAGTCCCTGAAGAAGGACATCTTGCTTGGTAAAGTGGAGGGTCAGTGAAAAAGAGGAAGCTCCCCAAAGAGATGGACAGACCAAGTGGCACCAATTGTGAGGACTGGGCAGTGCTTCGTTCTATGGTGCATGGGGTCACTATGAGCCAGAACGAATTCAAAATCACCTACCAACACTTTTTACTGGAGCAGGTTGTTAGATCTTCCTGGAGCCGTTGGTGGGTAGGAACCGCAGACCTTTGGGTTGGCAGTCGAGTGCTTTACCTTTGAGCAATCTGAACTCTTTACTCCACCCTGTTGTAGTTGTTAAGTGCCATCAAGTCAGTTCTGATTCATAATGACCCTGTACAGGGTTTCTGAGGCATTTTTAAATATTTGCAGGAGCAGAAAGCCTCATCTTTCTCCCACAGAGCAGATGGTGAGCTTGTACCATGGACCTTGTGGTTCACAGTCCAGTGCTTATCACATGGAGTCTGTTGTTGTTGTTAAGTACCATGGAGTCAGTTCTGACCCATAGCATCCCTGTATAGGGTTTCTCAGGAGCACCTGGTGAGCTTGAACCACCAACCTTGCAGTTCAAACTGACTTTGCAATCCAGCCTGTTAGCCCACCAGGCAGCATACACTAGCTGTCACTACTGACCATTATGAAAGGGATTACAGTAGAAGACTTTAAATAGAGTAGGACAAAATATGGAAGAAAACTCAAAATCATCAGACAGACCAGGCTTCTGGTATGATTGAGACTGGAGGACCCCCAGAGATGATGACCCCTAGCCACCCTCCCAGCCTGGAACTGAACTCACCAGCTCTGTGGCTCAACTTTCAGTCAAAAACAGGTAGGCCTGTCAGGTGAACATTAACACCAGGGAAGTAGGCACACCTCAGAACAGTAACACACCCAACCCAAGGGGCAGCATGTGCCCAGGGATGCAGTGGGGAAGGCAAGAAGGGATGAGAAGAAGGAGGAAGGAGACAGAAAACCCAGGAGGAAGTGCACAAAGTGCTGGTTCGGTGTGCGGACGGCAATCCATATAACAAAGTAAAATGTGTGTGAGTGGTGGGAGGGAAAACCATTTGCTTTGTTAGCTTTCACTCAAATCCCAACAAGAATTAATGGCAGTACATACTGATGCAGTGATGCATTCTTGGAGTCTCCAGTTTAGGTTTGCAGACTTCTTAGCCCCTTTCTCTAACTTTCTTCTCAGCCTTCCTTGTTGATTCCAAATGAGGAACTCCCAAAGCAGAGTCAGAGTTCCCCTCAAGAAGGGTGTCTTTACTGATGAAGGAGCCCAACAAGAGGCACCCCTGTCTTCTCCATTGCCTCCTCTACACAACTGTCCATTAGTCCAAGGGGTGGGGATAAAGCCTCTCAGTGACATCTCACACCCTGATTCCAGTCCATCTAGTACAAAAGGCCACCAGTCTCTAACTTGGGGATGAATCCAAGACTCTGACGCTGTGGATCCAAACTAGCCACAGTGATGGAGTTTATTGAAATGCCTTTGTCAAGAGAGTCTAATATTTTCTTTGAACTGGGATGTTGGCAAAGAATATTGAGTATACCATGGTCAGACAGAAGAACAAACAAATCTGTCTTGCAAGAAGTACAGACAGTGCTCCTTGGAAGCAAGAATGGTGAGATGTTTTCTCACCTGCTCTGACCACGGTGTCAGGAAGGACCAGTCCCTGGAGAAGAACATCAGGCTTGGTAACGCAGAGGGTCAGTGAAAAGTAGACCCTCATGGAATGGACTGACACAATAGATGCAAAGTGGACATGGTTTCATTCTGTTATACATGGGGTCTAAAGGTTGGAACTGACTTCCCCAGTACCAACAACAACCACAAAAAATACTTTCTAAACTGAAAATTACAAAGCAATCTGTTGGCTCCTTCCATGAGAAGGTCATGAACGAAGAGAAGCCGAGAACTTTGGTGTTTGGGATGGACCTGATGCTGCGTGGATGGCTAGCTAGCTGATTGGGTGTGACGCTTCCTGCTGCTCCTCATAGACCAGACCCTACAATGATCCATGATTGAAAATGAGAAAAGGGGCATTAGAAGAATCAAGACAAATGCTTGCTGTACCACAACTGAACAGAAAAGTGCTGTTAATTGACATTTGTGTTCCCCAAATATGGGTTGGAATCCTAACTTCTATAGCTGTGGCTAAGGGTCCCTGTTGGCTCCATGGTTAAGTAGTCACCTGCTAGCCCGTAAGTTTTCGGTTCAAACATGCCCGTTGTTTCTGCAGGAATAAAAACAAGAGCTCAGGGTCCAGAAAGATGGCAGCCTAGAAAACCCTAGGGCACGGTTCTGCTCTGACACAGGTCGCCGTGAGAGGAAAATGGATTCAGTGACACACAACCCAACACATGGTTTCTTTGTTGTGCTCACAAGACCCTATCTGTGTGCGTCCTAAACCTATTCACTTCCGGGATGTAAAACAGTAGGTTAGACACAGAGGGTTTACTGAGAGGGTGGGGGTTGCCAAGTAAAGATTGTGATGATTTGTAGGAACTCAAAACAGACAGAAAGTGAGCAAGACTTGGTTCAAAGCCCCATGAAAGGTGCCCACATGCTGTTACTGAGCACTGGCTAAGTGAGACATCAAGTTAGAGCTGCCCACTAGGCTCTGCTCCCAAATCCAGGCTCCCAACTGGAAAATACAGAAGAAACAGCTTCCAGCTCCTGCCTGGTTACTGCCCACCACATCGCCCTCTGCTCCCTACACAGTGCTGCCGAGGATTGTGTGGGTGAGCCAAGACCCATAGGACAACAGCTGTTCAGGTCTCAGCTTCACCACACAGCAAAGCTTCTTCAATCTCCACTTCTCTTGGTTGAGCCAACTCCCAGTTCACTTGACCAGGGAATTCGATAGTAATACAGATCACAGCCACCAATCGTCCTGACTCACAGAGACCCCGTAGGGCAGGGTACAGCTGCCCCATAGGGTTTCCCAGACTGGCATCCTTGCAAACTGCCTCATCTTCCTCCTGCAGAGTGGCTGTTGGGTTCAAACCCCCGACCTTTCAGTGAGCAGCTGAGTGCTTAGCCATTGTGCCAACAGAACACTGTCCTCCTAAAGTAGGCATGAGAAACCCAAAACCAAACCTGCTGCTGTCAAGCCGACTCTGACTCCCGGTGACAGGTCAGAGCGTGCCCAGGAGAACGGCCCCAGGTCCCCAAAGATGTAAATCTTCATGGGAGCAGATTGCCTGCCTCGTCTGTCTCCTGCAGAGCTGCTAGGAAAAGCAAACTGCTGACATTTTGGGTGGTGGTTGTTGTTATATGCCGTGGAGTCAGTTGACTCACAGAGACCTGGTATAGGCTTTCCAAGGAGGGGCGACTGCTGGATTTGAACCATTGACCTTGCAGTCCAGCCCTCTTCCTTCAGTGCCACACCAGGACCTTTTGTTAGCAGTTGAGAATTTTCTCCAGTGAACCACAAGGACCCTGCAATACTCACAAGAAGGAGACATGTTAGGAAGCATATGCTTCCACTGTCCTGCCCAAAAGCTACAATTTGAGGCAGCAGTGTTTTCTCAGATGTACTACTGCCGTCTTTTAAACCGTGTGTTTGACTGTGTGGAGAGGAAGTGACAGCATCACAGTGAGACCCCTCAGAGCCTTACAAGGACCAGGAAAGTGTGTGGCAGACATGTCTCCTCAGATCCCAAACCCCCATGCTGCTGTGGAACCTGGTGTGGACAGGCTCTGGTGGCCGCCGGTTCTTTTCCCTTCAGCACAGAAATACCCCT